CTGAATATTGTACCTGAAAATAAAGCACTGTTTTATTTGTATATTATGTGTATTTGTAATGTGTATCTTTGTTCTTATTTTTTAATAGCAGATAAAATTCGCCCACCGCCATTCTTTTTTATATTTTGTTACCTTGAAATGCTTTGTCTTTATAATAGGGAAATTAGTTTTGCTGTAATGCTCAGACAACTTGCAAAATAGTAAAACCAACATGACAAAGAATCGTGATATATAAAAAAAAAAAAAAAATCGTGATACGATATTTGTGCCATATTGCCCACCCCTACTATAAAGGTCACGATATGGACCACAACTGGTCAATGATATTCAAAGTCATATTAGACCCTTTTAACATTAAATAAAGCACATAGTAGCTGCGTTTCCACTGTCGGGCCAAAAGCGGGCGTGCTAGTGCGTGCCAGGTCCAGTCGCGTTTCCACGGTCAAGGCATGATCGTGCCTCGTCAGGGCTTCCTCGGGGCCAACGGCCAGGGTTTATTTGGCCCACCGAAAACCTTGGGCCAAATCAGGCCAGCTCAGTTTTGAGGAGTGGTCATGAACAAAGGCGGAGTTTCTCCGCATCTGGAGAGCGTCAGCGCCACGGATTATTTCACATAGTTAACAGCCATAACTCCAGCATTAAAGACTTTTAAAATAATTTTAGCTGAAAACTCACTTTCTGACAGCAGCGAGTATATGAAATAACTTCTGTTTGAGATCCGATGTGGATTATGATCACTATACAAGGCAGAAATGTTTATAAGCGATGCAAAAGACTAGCCATGCATTACCATAGTAAACATGGTAAATACGACCTCTTAAAGAAATCAGACAAATCATATAGGCTATCACAATTGTGTATTTATTTAGTCTCGTCTCTTTATACCTGACTGATGTTCATAATTAGCTCCATGTATGTATTTTGTGTAATAACGGTAAAAAACAATTTATTTCTGTGTGACTAATTTTCAGTGCTGACCAATTAATTCAGTATGATCAATGTATCAATTATTATTGTAAAACTGGCAAAACATTGATGCTTTTGGATTTAAAGGGGTCATATGATGCTTTTTTAAAGATCATTATTTTGTGTATTTGGAAAACTTGAAATCGCATCATATGACCCCTTTAAATCTTTAAGTAAACAACAAAGATGCAAACAATCATTTTGTGATCTCGCTTATCTTTCCGATAAGTTTTCCGATAACTTCTCTTTGTTGGTAAAATGATGGGGTTGCGTGACGTTGTTCCAGAGAGGCGTGTAAAGGGCAGGTTTTAGTGAAGTGCTGCGGAGCTTCTGGTCCGACAGTGGAAACGCATCGTGATTTTGGGCTCGGTGCTACATAGGGATGGGCGATATGGGCTTAAAAATATATCACAATATTTCTGGTATTTATTGCGATAACGATATCAAAGACGATAATTCAGGGAATCCTGTTTCTTTAGAGGAAAGTATTATCTTTCCTATTTTTACCCAGAATAGGGTGTTGTGAGCATTACCGAGTACACATGTAATGTATTGACTGTTTAATTCATACTGGAAGCCGGTAGGCCCCCTGCACAGAAACTACACATATGCATAGCAGAAGTAATACTACTGACGAGGCTCCAGGAAATCCCTAATATGGACAAAGGTAACCAGTTATCGCTGAATAAAACGCACAATGGAGATAGAGAATTTTTAACTAATGAAACTTGAAGACAAACATATGATTGCACAAAATATATGGTTTATCTGTGTTCTTCAAGCAATCTTTGTCATCTAATCGATGTAGCCTTTATCACTGTATATAATACTATCATTCTGTAATATGAAACCATGTCTGGTCACAAAAAGAAGTTATTTCAAACACTAGACTATGTTATTAAGTTAATTTGGAGAAAAAGCATGTCAATAAATGATATTTTTGTTGAACAACAGGTTTGTAAACAGGCTCATGCACATGCAAAACTGTATCGCACACGTGCTACTGTAGTATATTTATTCAGACCAATTTTTTTTGTGCACTGTACAGCCCTGATCAAACCAGTTCCAGATTGTAGATGTCGGTCCGTACTGTCGCACACAGAAATATGTCAACAACTAGACTTTATCGTTATTATCGTGAGAATAATTTTTACCGGTATATCGCAAGATAAGATATCGCCCATCCCTAGTGCTACAGGTGCGAGGCTATTAGCCCCACCCGGCCCGTTGAAAGCACTGGCTCGCACTGGCCTGACAGTGGAAATGCGGCTAATCAGTACCTGAGATCATTGTTGTCATAGTTTGTATATTGCTCCAGCCGCGACGTCACAGAAATAGAAACCATTTTTAAATGGTTGCTTGTTGTGTGTCACCGCTGCAGCTGGTGACGATGGAAAAGAGACCCTTTATCGTGTGTCGCGGCATCGTATTGCATTTGGTTAGGACACGGTGTTAGGCTATAAGCATATCAGTCTGTATCCTTCATCCTTCCTCAACCCCATCCTTTACAATTAAAGTTTATGAAACGTATGAAAACTGGACCACTGTTATCACTGCATAATATTGCACTTGTGACAGCTCAGTTTCAATATGTGCCTTGCATTTCTCGTACAGCTCTGGGATGGCAAGTTGAGGAATTGTTGCGTATTAAATACTGCTTTTCAA